CGAACCCCCGAACCTCGATCTCTGCGCAGACCTGTTTTAGGTGACTTGTCCCACCTTATAATTTGGACGAGTGGCGACTCCCTTTTTCTTATATATTTCACACTTGATTTTTTATTTGTTTTGAAAAAAATCTTAAGTGGTCGTCAACAATGTTGATGACATGATTATTACTGGAGATGATGTCGCAGGTGTTGAGGAGTTAAAACAATCTCTCAGTCAGAAATTTGGGATGAAAGATCTTGGTGTTTTGAGCTTTTTTTTGGGGCTTAAAGTGACCTCTTCAGATGATGGCTACCTACTTTCTCAAGTAAAGTATGCCTCTGATCTTGTTTCTAAAGCTAAACTCAATGATGATAAGAGTGTTTCCACACCTCTTGAACCTAATGTCAAGCTTACACCTATGGATGGCTCTCCACTTTCTGATCCCCACTTTCTGATCCTACTCGCTATTGACAATTGGTTGGTAGTCTAGTTTATCTTACTACGACATGCCCTGATATAGCATATGCAGTTCACATTGTTAGTCAGTTTATGGCTGCTCCTCGCTCCACTCATTATGCAACAGTACTTTGCATTATTCGTTATGTTAAGGGAACATTATTTCATGGACTCCATTTTTCTGCCAACTCCTACCTTGTGCTTCGCACTTACTCTGATGTTGATTGGGCTACTAATCCTTCTGATTGTAGATCTACCACTGGTTATTGTCTTTTCCTTAGTAATTCTCTTATCTCTTGGCAGAGTAAAAAACAAACTATTCCATCTTGCTCTAGTACTGAAGCTGAGTATAGAGCTCTCGAGGATACCACATCAGACCATCTTTCATTACGGTGGCTTCTTGAAGATATGGGCATTTCTCAACCTTCTTCTACTTATTTATATTGTGATAATCAAAGTGCTATATAGATTGCTCATAATGATGTCTTTCATGAACGCACTAAACACATTGAGGCTGATTGTCACTTGATTCGCCATCATGTTGCACAAGGAACTGTTCATTTGGTTTTCATTGGCTCCGCTGATCAACCAACAGATCTCTTTACCAAGGCTCATTTTCTTGGACACTTTCGTACTTTTCTTTCCAAACTCAAGTTGGTCTTATCACAACCACCATGAGTTTAAGGGGGGATGTTAAGATGTAAACACAATTATATTTAGAATTATTGTAAATATTTATACTTTAGAATATTCTTTTTATATACTTTATACCTTAGAATATTCTCTTTGTAAACACCTATATATAGGTCATTGTACATACAGTATGATTCAAGAAAGCAATAAACCTTCCTTCAAATTATTCTTCTTTTCAGTTTTCTAACAATTTGCATTACATTTCAGCAACATTTCATCAACATTTTGTAGCGTAGGTTGCTGCACTTTGCTGCTACCGTACTGTGGTGCAGCCTTCTTTCATTTCCTGCCACTTGTGCAGTTTTCTTTCATTTGCTGCCTCTTGTGCAGCTTTCACACCACAACTCCAACAATTGTATTATGTACAAGTTATTGCATTAAGTGAACATTAAATGAGAAAAGCATTGTTTTATGTTGTTTTCTGCAATAAATAACAGAACATCAACGGAGGAAAAGTTGAGTTTCACCTCAATCAAAGTGGGGACACTCCTTCTCTTCCAAGACGTCTCTATACTCATCTTAAAAAAATCCCCAACACTTTAAAGCAGCAGTGCCTAATTGTAAAGGATAAAATTAAGGTACCGAGTTAGACTGTGCTATGTATCAATGGCTAGGCAAGCTTGTGGCCTCAAGATTCTTGAAGATAGCCATGTATCTCCGCTGCCTGGCTCAGTTCTGACCACCACCGTGCCTCTCACCTTCTTTGACATCCTCTGGCTTGGTTCTTTCCTTATGCAACGCCTCTTTTTTTATGAATTCCCTTACCCTACCTTGCATTTCACCCAAACCATTCTTCCTAATCTCAAAACCTCTCTCTCCCACACCCTACAACATTTCTTCCCTTTTGCTGGGCATCTCGTGCTCCCTCCACGTCATCAACAGCCCTATATCCTCTACAAAGAGGGTGACTCTGTTAACTTTGTTGTTGTCGAATCCATGGCCAACTTCAACCATCTCGTAGGCAACCATGGAAGAACCATCGAACAATTTCAACAGTTGCACAACTTCAACCATCTTGGGTTCCCTGAAACCCACGCAAGGTTCTGTCGAACCCAAGCCTGGGTTCATTGGAACGCAACGCTGGGGGTTTTGCCTGGGTTCGATGGAACCCTAGCACTTGGGTTCCATCCAACCCAGGCTTGGGTTCCGGCGTGGGTTCCATGGAGGGCTTCTCTTAGCAAAGAATTTTGTTGGGTTCCAAGGGAGAGAGAAAGGAAAAGAGAAGGAAAAACAAAAAAAAGAAAGATTTTTTTTTTTCATATTATTATTTTTTTATGTTATTATTATAAAGTCTGAGCTGGATTTGTCAACATGTAAAAAAATCCTGAGTTGGCATTGACACATCAAGGTATAACAGAAATTAACATGCACGTGTCGCACGTGATCTTCTATCATTAAATTTTGCCTTATTTTCCTAAACTTGAAAACATGAAGGATAAAAAATTATATATTGTAATATGAGGGGTAAAACGCTTCAAATTCGAAAAGTTAAAGGGTAAACAGGTACCTTTTGCCGAAAAGAGGGAAACTGAAAGCTGTGAACTGATGAAGGTGAAGAGATCTAGGGGTAATTATCCTAAATCTTAATGGAGATTGTGTTGACAGATGGCATTGGGGGTGGGATTGGGTGTGTATGTTTTCTTTTTACTTTTTGTTATTTTACTTTTAATTTTTGAATTAAGAATGTGATTTAATTTAAAAATTAATTTTTCTTTTTAAATTTTTTAGATTATCTTATATTATAATATTAAATTTTAATTTTTATTAGAGTTATTATAAATTTTAATTTTATATTTAATTTTATATTTAATTTTATATTATTAAATTTTAATTATATTAATATAAATATATAAATTTTTATTATTTATTTATTAAACTTAACAAACCCTCAATTTTATCAATTCGATTATACAATTTCAATTTTACTTGAACAAAACATTTTACATAAAATTCCAATTTTGACGATCTTGGTTGCAAGTCTTTTACTCTTTTACCCTTACTTTTATTTATCAGGCGACGGTGATTCCTCCCGAACAATGGCAACACGGCCAGGAAGCCTGACAAAAACGAAAAGACTATGGGGCCACCATCTTCACCGAGAACAGACCCAGTTGGCCTGAGGGACTCCGTTGAAGAGCTCGTGAAGTTCACTCTCCACTCCCATATAAACGGAACTCTAGAATTCGATCTTGGGCTCTCCAAAGATTTCTGCTTTTCTCTTCTCAAAGACGAATCAAGTGACCCCATTACAGGTAAGAAATCAAGAGAATCATAATTTTAGGCTTTTCATTTACTGTGTGTGCCTATTAAACTGCCTGGGCTTTCACATGTTTTTACTGAAAGTATGAAACTTGATTCAAGATAGGTTGGTTTGGTCAAGAAAATCGAAACAATTAGAAGGCATAACTGCCCTGGCAGTGTTGCACATTCTTCAGGAGCCCCTGAATCTCCTGTAAGGAATAGACTAGCTACAGCTTTGCATGAATCCATAGCTTCTGGGGCATTTTTTGGGACGTACTGCAAATTGGACTCTCTGTATGATGAGAGTGGGTTGAAGCAGAAAGAAAAATGGGATGAACTGATCCGTGACAAGGGTTCTGAATTAAAAGATGTATGGAACTTTGATGTTGGTGTTGGTCAATTTCAGTAATATATTCCTGCTTTATTTGAGTGACTTGTATGATCTAATCATTGTGTATCGTTCTCCTCAGATACTGAAGACTGTAACTTTTGAGCTTCATGTTCACGAACCTTACTTCACTAAACTAAAAGGGACAATTTCATTATGTTCTTTACATTAGAAACAACCATTTCAATGAAAAAATTTTGAATAATTCTACTTGGTTACCTGAAATACTGTGGATGGGTGCCAATTGTGCCTGCATTGATTGAACAAACTGTTTGATGGTATCAGCTATCAAGGTATACGCGCCTATAGCAGCTACCCGTTTTTTGTTGGAAAAGAACTGATGGTAAAATTTCATTCATGAAGAAGAAACATATTGGCATCTGTTTGTTGTTGTTCCTTTCTTTTTTTCATTTTTTTTGTTCCCTTGAGGCTTGTTTCGTAGTAATTAGATATTCATTGCAGATGGGTTAAAAACAATTGAAGGAAGGTGTGCTGTTGGCAACTATAACAGGTATGGCTCACACTTGATATGCTTTTGAATAATCTGACGCTGGATTTCGGTGTGTCGGTCCTTCTTTCCCCCTGGGTGCTATATGCCATTTATCTTTCATTGTCTTTAAGTATATTCATTTGTTAAATTCATTCTTTGAAAGGGGAACCCTCCATGAAATTGAAGTCAATATCTGTGTGCCTTACCAACTACTAGTCCATGCATGGTGTAATTGTTAGCTTGAGATTTTTCTTTTTCTTTTTCCTGGTTATCCGGATTTTAGAGCTTTAAGAATAGCTCCATAGTTTCGCGCGTTCATATTTCACAATGTCTAGTGTTTGAAGCTTTGGATCACTTAAAGGTGATGTTGAAGCTATATATTGTGTAGAAGTGAGCAAAGATGTGTACAACCAAGGCCTTATTCTTAAAGCTGTATTCCACTTAGAAGTGGTTTTTAGCAATGCAAAATGAATCTTTGCTTTTAAGGTGCACAACATTTTAGGTCCTTGGATCTAAGTTTCCATTGGGATGATTGGGCTTGAAAGCTCCTTTTTCCAAATTTTCTTTGTAGAGGTATGGACCTTCTCAGCTTAGGCACAGCTTTCCTTCTTTGAAATGTTTTCCTAAGACCTCAGTCTTTCACAATATCCCAACTTTGTTCAATTGTTTTTCCTTTGTTTTCAAGTTGTGCTTTGACCATGATCCTTTTCTTTCCAAATTATGTGCTAGGTTAGAAGTCTTTGAAAGCTTTGCTAGCAATATATGGTTTGTAATGAGGATCTTTGGTACTTTGATCTTGTGTATGATGTGTATTCTCTCAAATTCTTCGATTTCCTCTTATGTTGTTTTGGCCACAACTTCACATGCAGAGGATTTGATGGCCGATGTTAAGTTTGTGGAAACCCTACGCTCCATGCAAACACATCTTTATAATCTCTCAAACATTCCTCTAAACGTCTGGTAAACTCAAGATTTATATCAGCTTTGATATCTGTTGTACTCTCAAGTTTCTCTGAGTCCAATATCACAGGTTTCATACAATCAACATGTTCTGTATATTACTCCTTTAAACCTCCGCTCATGTCCATTTCTGTCTCATATCTCTTGTTAGACCTATGCATCTTGTAATTAAATTCCTATGCTCAGAGCTTTTTGACCTATGTGGCTTTCTCCCAAAAGTTTCTCAAGAAAAAAAGTTAGTTTTCTTAGAAACATAGTAACTTGCATGATTATTAAGATTGCAATTTAGAAAATTATTTAGAAAAGTAAATATCCTTAGCTGGGATCGTAGCTTTTTTTTAAGATTTGTGCATGTAAGATTTTGAGATGTCTATCTTGAACCTATGTTGTGTTAAAATATTTATAGCATCCATCAAAGAAGTTGCAGCTTGCTTGATTGCTCTCAAATTGCACAATGTACTACCATATCTTGCTCAAACCTCTTGACTTGTGATGCCAACGGCGGATCTCTTGGTATTGCTCCATTTGGTACCTTTCCGAAATTCATCTAAGAGGAAGAAAAACCACTTGTTTCTCCATTGTTTCCAAAACTTGAAGCATCCATGTATGTCAACAACAAATTTTCATTGACAAGATTCACCATGTGGTATTCGTAGATCAAAAAGAACTCAGTCCCACGGTGGGTGCCAAATGTTAACACTAAAAGATAGAATAGATGACGCGGAACCAAGTACTTTATTAATCAATAATGGAGAGAGCTTACAATAGAGAGAAATAGAGAAAATAATCTGTCTTCCTAAGTTTATTCTTGAGGTATTTATATAATGTTTACATAAAGTTATCTTAGGAATACAACTCTATTTTATTGATGTTTGGGTATTCTAATTCTAGTAGATTTAACCTATCTAATCTTGATATGATTATTTTTAAAATGTCTTCACGTATGTTAATTCTCATAGGACTCAATTTAAGGTATAACAAAAAAGAAAACCGAGGGAGAAAGTGCAATTAAAGTACATTTTTTACATTAATCCATCATCATGTTTTTTCTATCTTAAGCATACTGCTAAGCATGCCTTAATTATTAACCCATCATCATGTTTCTTCTATCTTAAGTATCTGCCAACCATATCAATAATTAAGACGTGATTATTATTACCATTAATATTATTAAATTTACTAATATTTTGATTTTTTTAATAGTATTTGAAAATATCAATTTGTTAA